ATACAAAAAAATTAGCTGGGCATGGTGGCGCACGCCTATAATCCTAGCTACTCAGGAGGCTGAGGCAGGATCATGCCACTGCACTCCAGCCTGGGTGACAGAGCAAGACTATGTCTCAAAAAAAAAAAAATCTGCTGAGATTTTGCCAGGGATTACATCCACAGATCAGCTCACCAAAACCTCTGCCTCCCAGGTTCAAGCGATTCTCCCATCTCAGCCTCCTGAGTAGCTGGGATTACAGGCACGTGCCATCACACCCAGCTAATTTTATGTTTTTAGTAGAGACAGGGTTTCTCCGTGTTGATCAGGCCGGTCTCAAACTCCCGAACTCAGGTGACCCGCTCGCCTTGGCCTCCCAAAGTGCTGGGATTACAGGCGTGAGCCACCGTGCCTGGCCAATGTTGAGTCTTTTTTTTTCAGATGGCGTCTTGCTCTGTCGCCCAGACTGGAGTGCAGTGGTACAATCTCGGCTCACTGCAACCTCCGCTGCCTGGATTCAAGTGATTCCCCTGCCTCAGCCTCCTGAGTAGCTGGGACTACAGGTGCCTGCCACCATGCCTGCCTAATTTTCTGTATTTTAGTAGAGATGGGGTTTCACCATGTTGGCCAGGCTGGTCCCGATCTCCTGTCCTTGTGATCTGCCCAACCTCGGCCTCCCAAAGTGCTGGGATTACAGGCATGAGACACCACGCCTGGCTAATGTTGTCTTTGTCTTTTTTTTTTTTTTTTTGAGGAGGCCCTGCCTGCGCGGCCACCGCCCATGCTCTGCCTCAATGTTGCCTCTTTTAACCAAAAACATGGCACGCTGGCCGGGCGCAGTGGCCAGCACTTTGGAGTTGGAGACCACCCCTGGGAAGCTCTGCCAGGAGAGGGTGCAGGAGGAAGGGCTTCCCGGTGCCCACTTGCATTCCTTCTCCTCCTGCTTCTGCTGCATGGCTGCCCGCACACACTGTGCCTGGCTAATATCTTCTGAAATGTTGCAGTTGTGCTCATCCTCACCACCTTTTGGTGCTACCGCTCGGGGTAGCTTCCCACTGAGTTTCAGTGCCAACTCCATGGACAGATTCCCAGTGAGCCTCACGGGCACTTCAGAGGCTGATTTTCCAGCTTTGGCCCAGCTGCACTTAGAGGGGTGCATTCCTGCCCGCCAGCCTCCTCAGTGGCTGTGGATCAGCTCCACCCCAGGGCAGTCCGCGGAACCCCCTGGACACATCCGCGCTTCTCTAACAAAGAATGAACTCCCACCCTTGGGGAAGGACCCCCCTCTACGCTTTTTTTTTTTTTTTTTTTTTTTTCCGAGACAGAGTCTTGCTCTGTCACCCAGGCTGGAGTACAGTGGCGCAATCTCGCTCACTGCAACCTCTGCCTCCCGGGTTCAAGCAATTATCCTGCCTCGGCCTCTCAAGTATCTGGGATTACAGCACGTGCCACCACGCCCGGCTATTTTTTGCATTTTTAGTAGAGACAGGTTTCACCACGCTGTTTGGGCTGGTCTTAAATTCCTGACCTGAGGTGATCCGCCTGCCTTAGCCTCCCAAAGTGCTGGGATTACCGGCGTGAGCCACCGTGGCAGGCCTTCTTTCTTCCTTCCTTCCTTTTCTGTCTTCCTTTATTTTCTTTCTTCCCCTTCCCTTCCTCCCTTCTTTATTCTCTTTTCTTTCCTTTCTCTCCTTCCTCCCCTCCCATTCCCTCCCCCCTCCCTTCCTCCCTTCCTTCCTCTCTCTTCTTCCTTCCTCTTTCTTTCCTTTCCTCCCTCCTTTCCCTCCCCTCCCCTCCCCTCCCCTTCCCTCTTTTTTCTTTTCTTTCCTTCAATCGGGTTTTACTCTGTTGCCCAGGTTGGAGTACAGTAGTGCAATCACAGCTCACTGCAGCTTCGACCTCCTGGACGCAAGCAATCCTCTCACCTCAGCTTCCTGAGTATCTGGGACTACAGGAACACATCAGCATACCTCACTAACTTTTAAAATTTTTTCGAGGCTGGGTCTCAGCCGGGTGTGGTGGCTCACACCTGTAATCCTAGCACTTTGGGAGGCCAAGGTGAGTGGATCACCTGAGGTCAAGAGTTCAAGACCAGCCTGGCCA